TAGATAGATAGATAGATAGATAGATAGATAGATAGATAGATAGATAGATAGATTTGAGAGCTTAATCAAATTTCAAAATAATTGATGGTTTTTATGATATGGCTCTTTCTAGAATCACCCAACATGCAATGATGCAGCAGAAGGCAGGTTTATCTCTGACTGAAATCTTTAGTTTGCTGACCTCTTGCTTGGCTCTGTCTTCAGTGAAGGTCTGGTGCTGTATGCATGAAGCTCCAGACAGCTGATGGCTGATGTCTGAGAGTGACAGATACTCCACTGCCTCCTGCAGAGTGATGTTAAGAATAGATCCCTCGGCACCACTCGCACTGAACAATGTTTAAGAAACAAGTAACAGACACACTTTACAATACAGACAAACTAACAGACAATAGCTTTGACAAACTACTGTATGACAAAAACATAGAAGAACAAAAGACTGTAAAATTTTAATGTGTATTTGCTAAAAGTCAATTTTTTAAAAGCACACTAGCATATAGAAGATGCAAGGTATCTGTAAAATGAATGTTTAGAACAAAAAACAATGTTTCTGTGAAACATATCAGATAATGCGCTTTTACATACTGCTATTAGCACATAACATATGTAAACTCACCGCAGCGCTTCTGATTTGTTCTTGGTAGTGGTGACTTTCGTAATTGTCTGTGATTGGCTGAGGGAAGGTTTGATGCTTGCGATCTGTGATTGGCTGGTGCTGGCAGGCAGGTTATTCTCCTGGAGTCTCATGGATTGTCCAGTTGCTCGGTTATATCGCACAGTAGAAGACCTCGTCTTGGACTGCTGGGTAATTGTGCCGCCTGCCTTATTCAAGGCTGGGTCGCTGCCACCGCGTCTCATTCCATTGGACTGAGACTGTGCATTCCAGTTCATCTGAGACTCCCACTGGCTGTTCTGGGTCTGCCTTCTCACTGTGCTGCGCGCTGACAAGCTGTGACCAGTCTGGGCAAATAAAAAGCAATGATGAATAAAGCGCTAATGGATTAAGAAAAATCATGAATAAGATAAAGTAATATTTATTATCAGTATTTATATGCATACAACTTCAGCTAAATCAGAAAATAATTATGAATTGACCCTTAGTTTCTACAACAACATTTTTAAAATAGAAATGTGAAGTTTGTTGTGGAACCTTCTTTCCGTCACAGAATAAAAATATTTAAAAAGTTCATTCATTTTTACTTTCTCACAATTTCGAATGTATATCTCACAAATCAGACATTTGTCTCACAATTTGCGATTTTATATCTCATAATTCAAACTTTTTTCCTCCGAATCAAGTTTATATCTCACAAATCTGACATTTGTCTCAGAATTTTAATTTTATCTCAAAGTTCAGACTTTATCATATTTGTGTTTATATCTTGCAATTCAGAGTTTTTTTCTAAGAATAATGCGTTTATATCTTGTAATTCAGACTTTTTTTCAGAATTGTGACTTTATATCTTGCAATTGCAAGTTATTGTGAGATGTAAACGTCCAATTGCAAGAAAAAAAAGCATGAATTGTGAGATAAAAAGTTGCAATTACCTTTTTTATATATTTTTTTGTTCCGTGACAGAAATAAGCTTCTATAGCTCTTTTTCATTCATTCATTCATTCATTCATTTAAAGGGGTGGTTGACTGTTTTATTTTCTAGGCTTAATTGTGTTTATGGGGTGCAGTCTAAAATGTGTTAATGCTTCGTTTTTTTTTTTTAAACAATTTTATTTTTCATGCTCTGTCCTTTCTCCTTTGAACTTCCTATTTATATGAAGCCCCTCCCTCAGAAATACAGTGCTGTGAAAAGGTTTTTGCCCCCTTTCTGTTTTTTTTTTTGCATACTTGTCACACTTAAAATATTCAGATCATCAAACTAATTTTAATATTACACAAAGATAATCCAAGTAAATACAAAATGCAGTTTTTAAATGATGATTTCATTTATTAAGGGGAAAAGGCTGTCCAAACCTACCTTGCCCTATGTGGAAAAAATAATTGCCCCCTCCTGTTAAATCATGAAAGAACTGTGATGAACCACATTATTTTAGAAAGCGGAGTTAAATTTCACTAGCCACACCCAGGCCTGATTACTGGCAGACCTGTTGAATCAAGAAATCACTTAAATAGAACCTGTCTGACAAAGTTAAGCATGCTTAAAGAGCAACACATCATGCCGCGATCTAAAGAAATTCAAGAACAGATGACAAACAAAGTAGTTGACATGTATCAGTCTGGAAAGGGTTATAAAGCCTTTGGGACTCCTAAGGCTTTGGGACTCCAGCGAACCACGGTCAGAGCCATCATCCACAAATGGAGAAAACTTGGAACAATGGTGAACCTTCCCAGGAGTGGCTGGCCTACCAAGATTACTCCAAGAGCGCAACGATGACTCATCCAGGAGGTCATAATAAGAACCCAGAACAACATCTAAAAAACCTCACTCGCCTCAATTAAGGTCAGTGTTCATGATTCAACAACAAGAAAGAGACTGGGCAAAAACAGCATCCATGGGAGAGTTACAAGGCAAAAGCCATTGCTGACCAAAAAGAACACAAAGGCACATCTCACATTTGCCAAAAAATATCTTGATTATCCCCAAGACCTTTGGGCAAATATTCTTTGGACTGATGCAACAAAAGTTGAACATTTTTGAAGGTGTGTGTCCCGTTACATCTAGCGTAAAACCAACACAGCATTTCATAAAAAGAACATCATACCAACAGTCAAACATGGTGGCGGTAGTGTGATGGTCTGAGCTTCAGGACCTGGATGACTTTCCATAATTGATGGAACCATGAATTCTGCTCTCTATCAGAAAATCCTGAAGGACAATGTCCGGCCGTCAGTTTGTGACTTCAAGCTCAAGTGCACTTGGGTTATGCAGCAGGACAATGATCCCAAACACACCAGAAAGTCCACCTCTGAATGGCTCAAGAAAAACAAAATTAAGGTTTTGGAGTGGCCAAGTCAAAGTCCGGACTTAAATCCGATTGAGATGTTGTGGCATGACCTTAAACAGTCCATTCATGCTCGAAAACCCTCCAATGTGGCTGAATTAAAACAAGTGGGCCAAAATTCCTCCACAGCGATGTGAGAGACTCATTGCCAGTTATCGCAAACAGTTTCAGTATTTTTTGTCCAGATGTGTGAGTGCTGAGTGGAGGGTAGTGGCGATGGTGTCATCAGTCGAGCGGTTAGACCAATATGCAAACTGGAAGGGGTCCAGGGAGGGGGGGAGGGCAGACTTGATGTGGTGCATGACTAGCCGTTCAAAGCACTTCATGAGAATAGGAGTAAGGGCAACTGGACGGTAGTCATTGAAGCAGGATGGAGACGGCTTATTCGGGACTGGAATGATGGTGGTAGCTTTGAAGCATGTGGGGACAACAGCCTGACTTAGTGAGATGTTGAAAATGTCTGTGAAGACATCAGTGAGTTCCACTGAACAGTCTCTCAGTACACGCCCAGGAATGTTGTCAGGACCCGGAGCTTTGTGTGCGTTGATCCTGCTGAGGGATCTCCTCACGCTGTCTGGGGACAGCGTCATCACCTGGTCGCCGGGAGGAGGTGGAGTCTTCTGTGCAGTGGTGCTGTTTT